AGAACAGGGAAACCGGTAACGGCAAATTAATGAATAAATTACTAGAAAACAATGAGAATAAATTAATAGTTCTGAATAGTCCTGAAGTAACGCAGGCTCAAGTTTACAGGAAAGTGAGTGACTGAGTGATTGAGTGATTGAGTGAGTGACAGACTCGCCCCCCTCCAATAACTCGAGTTAAAAATGACTTTGCAACCAGTATTTAGTTGTACCTGGAGACCTTGGGTCATGCATCAGGGAACACTGAATTGTAACTGAATTGAGCTCAACTATCCATGATACTCAACAAAAATTTCAACAGCAGACATCAACAACGTTGATGAAAGGGGCAAAATATTATTAACGAGTTATTAAAGCTACTTCCAACTAACGGTGAGTAATTTTTTTTCTTTTTTAACTCGCTCGTTCCGCATCATCAAATATTTTCAGATCGTTCTGAACTTCACATATACAATGGCACGAAGGCCAGCACCAGCCAGTATTGAAACAGTGATCTTAAAATTGTTTTCGCATAAAAATCCACCGATTTTTGCAGATTGTCAGCATTCTGTTTGAAAAACTGAACAAAATGAACAAAAATTCCTTCCACTAAGAACGTCACAACAAAGCCGATTCGAAAACGCACTTTAAAAACAGTGTAAATAAAACCTACAATAGAACATTTTCAAAACGACAGCTTTAGATCGGATTACCTTCAAATTTATAGGAATTATACTATTCAATTCATACTTGTTTTGCTGCAGGAATTTCAAATTTAGATATTATGAAACACATGTATTCTCAGTATGTAGGTATAGCACTAAAAGCGCTTGAAATTTAGCAAAAAACATAATGATAAAATGTTACTTGTCAAACAGAATTGTCTATGCAATGTTATTTTACCATGAAACTGCAAAAACGACRATCTTGTCAACGATAAACCTGCTATAGTGTTATAAGCGATCAGACGTTTTGCAAATAATTGAATGAATAGCTTATAATTGCTCTGGTAATACCTCATGACCACGACTGTGAAGCTCTTCTGCCAACTTTGCCAACACCATGTAATGACTACGACCAAACATTGGAATTATAGAAATCTTAGCAGAAAAGCAACAGTTTATCCTGAGCAACAAGAGAGCTAGAAACACTACAAGTCTTACATTGGTGACCATTTTGTTTGTTGAGGTCAAAGACGGCGCAAAATGTCAGGAGTCCAGGGTACAGGTCTCTTTTGTTCATAGGCAAGGCAAAGTGACATTAATCCTGTTAATGAATAACGTTCCTGGCGAGACAGCATTGGCTGRGGTGCAACAAGGACAGCGTTATTAAATTCAGCAACAAACGTTTGCGTATTAAACGATCATTTCAATAAGTTTCTTAAAATCAAGGGCTTTTTAGTGCATGTTTTAGTGGCTAAGACGACATATTCAAGGTGCATTTCCAGATAAGTAAAACTAAATTTATTATCGACTATCATAAGTTGAATAAATTACATGAAATTAGACAACCTTCCGACATTGAAAAAACAATATAGCATAATTTAAGTTCAGCGTCCTTGATTGTACGACGACTAAGACCACATACTTGGTTAAAATGTGCAAAACACCCTCGTCGGTTTACACGTATATGCTCCGTCATAGAAACACGACTTTGAAGCGAAGAGTTGTCATTTTATTAGCATTAGAAGATATTTTTCTTTTTTACTTCCTAATAGATTAATGCATACTCTTCGCTTTCAAGTTATGTCACAGCGAACATCTTGGAGGAACTTTAAAAGGATTTCTCATCAGTATTTTATTCGGTTAATTCAGTCAAACATGGCCGCCGGTCTTTTATCTTTTGCATGGTTGAAAAAGATTATTTAATAATAAGAAAAAAAAGAATAAGGGACTATGCAATAATTACCAAGGGGGCCCGTAAAACCAGAGGGAGGGCACTACATAAAATTGATGACAAGATAGGGGGCCAGACTGTATCTGGATATAGGCTTTACAGTTATAAGATCCTTAATATAAGACAGGGCAAAACCATTCAGTGCCTTGAAAGTAACGAGTAAAATTTTAAAGTCAATCCTAAATTTGATAGCGAAGCCAGTGTAAATCCTTGAGGGTGCATGGGAGTTATGTGATCGAATCGATTCACATTGCAGATATGTCTGGCGGCCACATTCTGGACACGCTGTAGTTTGTTAATTTGTGACGCTGSGAGTCCAAAGAACAAACTATTACAGTAATCGAGCCTGCTGGTAACAAAAGCATTAACAAGGGTCTGTGCAGCTTGGAAGCTAAGAAATTTTCTGATCCTTCTGATGTTGAAGAGATAGAAGAACGCAGCTTTACACTTTTTATTGATGTCTTTATCCATCTTTAGCTGGGTGTCAAACCAACAGCCAAGATTCCGGACTTCAGTGGAGGGTGGTATGTTGGAATTACCAACTTCTCAACCAGTAACAGTCACTTTAGCTAACTGCTGTCTTGTTCCAATGAMAATGATTTCAGTCTTGTCGTCATTCAGCTTGAGTCGATTAGAAGTCATCCAATGATCAGCAATGCATTTCTGCATGGCATCAATTGCGACGGACTGATTCTCAGTGTCAGGTTTAAATGACACGTAAAGCTGGGTGTCATCAGCGTACGCATGGACTTGAGATAAATGACGCTCCACAATAGTGAGAAGGTTGCTGGCGTATAAGAGAAACAAAAGCGAGGCCTTGAGGCACCCCATAATTTACTGGGAATTTCTTTGATTTTCCACCATTCAGTAAAATAGACTGTTGTCTATTCTGTAAGTACGAGTACTAGTTGAACCATAGTAGTGCCATTCCGATAATTCCAAAATCTGAGTTAAGCCGATCCAGTAAAATACTGTGGTCAATAGTGTCAAACGCCGTACTTAGGTCTGAGAACAAGTAAGGTCACGAACTGTTTATTCATATTCAGCAATATATCGTTTTTCACACGCAAAAGCGCAGTTTCGGTGCTGTGAAACTCACGATAGGAGAACTGAAACTTTGGGTAAAGACCATGAAGGGTGAGGTGACTATGGGTCTGACTGAACACAGCTCTCTCTGTCAGCTTAGATGCAAACGGCAAGTTACTAATAGGACGCAGGTTACCAAATATCGGCTCTGTCTTCGACTTCTTCAGACCAGGGTGTACTTCGGCGATCTTCCAATCTTGAGGGAACTGTCCAGATTGTAAAGACAAGTTGATCATTCTAGTGATTGTAGGGAGAAGAACGTCCAAACACTCAACCACAAGTGGAGTAGGGATAGGGTCTAACAAGACTTCTTACTTGATCTAGAGATAAGCTCTCTAACGTCTTCTTCAGATAATTCACTGAATGAATTCAATTGGTGGATGTTTGCCGGCAGTTCTATCATGTTTGTGCTAGGTGGCTCAGCATTCTCTAATAAGGTGGAGTTGTCAAGGTCAGTGCGTATGCACTCAATTTTCTGTGAAAGTACAAACCAATGTCATTAGCCAAAACATTGTTGTCACTATAACCCTTATGGAAATCCAGATCTGCCTTAGATCCAGATGAGTAAGCCACCTCTTGTATCTGGGTTCGACTTTAGTGAATTTTGGGTTGCTACAGCTGACTCGACTCGCTTGTGCTTKTTTTATAACTAAGGTTAAGGTGTTTCGATCGTAATAAATAGCGCTCCGCGCGTATTTCTAAACTCCAACTACGTCGCAAATTTCGATTCCATTGCACTCAAATTTTCAGAGAAGTAACAGTGATTATCGATAATTCTCCAATCTTGTAGATAAATTAATTTGCCAAAAAGCGTAGCCATTTGGATAAACGATGCAAAATAAAAACACCTTCATTTTTCTTCAAAGTTAATTTTCTCAAAACTCATCGCAGAGATTGTCATAAAATTTTCAGAATCATTTCTTAATAACATAATTGATATACTGACGAACTTTCAATAAAATCTTAACCTAAAATTTCGAGTTGTTCGAATGTACATCATTTTGCTCAATCGATAATCACTGTGACTTCTGTGGAAATTTGAGTGCAATTGAATCGAAATTCGCGCCGTAATTTGCTAATTTTCTGCTTAAGAAATCTGTTTTTACGTCCCCCCTCAGGACTGAGGCTCCTGGTAATTATTGCACAGTCCCAAAGTAAACGGAAGTAGTGGTACACCTAATATGTTGTACCTTTATAATTGCCGAGTTTAGCTCATATCAACAAATGTTACGATCTCGATTTCACAAAAACGTAGCGAGGAGAATACGAGTTGCACACTGCTGTTAGAGCAAAGATTGTGATTTGATGAAATAACGAAAAGAGACAGGCAATACAAAAAACGAAGGATAATAGGCATTGTCTGCATACAAATCCTACAATTCTTTGCTTTTGTTGCCACGATCAAACACAAGCTTCGATGTGACAGTAGTGGTCGACACGAGAATACCAGTGTGCACCAACTAATCTACAGCCTAGACTTCATATCGATGTAATTCACCACCTTACTAATACGTGGAAACTCTTAAAGAACATTTAATAAAAACATCAATAAAAAACCTTTACACTTCAACAAATTATTCTATGTACATATTTTACAAGATATTTTTTAAGTTTGTTAAATAAATTTCGCTCTGTACAAATTCACACGACCGGGACATTACAGYTATAGTACTAGTAAAGAGGAAGTTGAMGGWTAGAATGGAGAGTTTATTATTGGAGAGCACGACCGAAATGGAAGATGGTTTCACAATTGCCGGCGGTCRRCTTCATTGATTGATTTCTAGCCACACCACACAATTCTTATTCKTCGAGAGGTCTATATTTTGATATCCAGTGGGTCATCGATAGACGAAGCGGGCGGAGGTGGTAGGGTTGGTGTGTCTTCAAGATCAAAGCACGTCAGGGTCTGATAATGACTTGGTCCTCCCGCCTCCCTCGGTGGACGGCGTAACTGCTCGTGTCGTAACCTGTTGATGGTATAATCATATAGAGATTCATATTGTGATAATTGAATAGCAACAGTAAATGATATCGAATGTCCAGATTTTCCCTGACCAAAAACCTCCTTTTTACTTTTCGCGGATACTTCGATTCATGTTCTTAGCGTAAATGGAAGTTTTAAAGAAATGTGAATAGGATTGGTTTCAAGACATACCCACCAGAAAAGGCTTCATTAAAATGTTCCAGCAAATAGTGGGAGAGTGAAAAATTCAGAACTAAATCGGATTACATGGGACCATATTTGAAAATTATCAGMATTTGCATTTATTTACTTTAGAGATTTTGAAAACTGAGTTTCCTTTGGCACCTTTTAGGCGGTTCATTTTCAAAATTCACAACAAGCATCACCACCCTCTGGTATATATGGTTTCCCCTGTAGTTAATCTCTCTTACATGTCTCAAACACTCATGTCTCATTGCTACAACATAAGCGTCGAGTTTTTGTAAGGACGTTTCTGTCAAACTGTGACTGGCTTGAATGACATCTGAATATTCCAGAGCGCGGCTTCAATTTCTGTTTTACAGAAATTTCTATTTTGCCACTTAAAAATTGATATACATAAGCTCTGTGCTGGTATCAAAGTATGAATGGAACTACCCTTCCAGCAGAGTGTTATTTATCTTACCTCAGTGAAAAAATCTTTAACTGAGGTAAAAAACACTCTGCTTCTAGGGTAGACTGGTACAAAGTGCTCTTTCAGATTAGTTGGGTTATTTTTAAGAAGTACAACTGAAAAAAAAAACGTTTTACAGAATCCAGAATTCTCTGAATATCAATTGTATTTACCTTTTCCCAACTCCAGCCGTCCAAGGTCTTTTCCTTAGCTCACAAGCAATTTCGTGATCATTAATGCTGTAGTAGGAATTTAAAAGTATCATATCTCAATAACGAAAGTGGACAACAAAAACAATACATAAAAAAATGCAAACTTACACTAATTTYTTATTGAATTGGCTGGTTATAATCTTTGGTGTTTCCTGTGAATAAATATACGTAATAGCGAATGAGGAAATTAAAGTATAAGGGTCATGATATAAGCGCGACATATACATGTATAAGCAATGTATAACGCTGTGCATTGAGTAGATTAATTGATGAATGAATAAACAAACCACTGACCGCAATAGCAACGTATTTTTAATAAAGAAGAACTATATTATATTATATTTACACATGAACCCGGGATACTATAACTAATCGTCCGTCATTGGTAGAATACCTTTTCTTCTTCCTCTTTCTTATTTTCATGTTCATCTTCGCTGCTCTCCTGTGTTAACAAGATGCTATCAGGTCCAGCGGTGAGTGTTTCAGGATCGACAAGAACATCATATGGAGCCATTGGATGTTGATATGAAATAGGCTCAGAGATATCCCAAGGCTTGGGTTGTCCAAATGTACCTAATTCACCATAAACAAGTGTAAATTAAAGTTCTGATATTTGAAGATAATTTTCCGGCGTGATTTGCGATCTTTAGACCKGTTTCCGATTTACAGGTGTAGAATTTATTTAAAGAATAAAAGACGAAATTCCGTGTTTGATACTCTGATCAAAACACGCGGGATCTAGGGAGAGCACGAGAGAAGCGTAGGAAACCACKMCGCKWMGCGKMGTGGTTTCCAGCTTTTCGAGTGCTCTCCCTACATCCCAAGTATGATCATGTTGTTCCATTACATTGTAAGTTTCAAACACCTACCAATAAAATGTCCCTCCCAAGTCCATGCTCGTACAGTGCAATCCACTGACGACGTCAGAAGAGCACCGTATGCCTCTGCAATCTCGATACTGCAAGAGAAATGGTTATGTTTAATTTTATATTTTTGTATCAATAAAAAATACGATTCTTACATATATTAGTGGYCTTGACTTATTATATTTAAAGGAGACATAAATGTTTTACAATAAAATAATGGAATGTTTTGTGGGAAGACCTTAGCTCACCTCCGGTTATTACAAATTTATTGTAGCATACCTTGTGATAGATTGTACGTGAGCCCTCCAATAATATAATCCTGAAAAATAATATTGAAAAAACATCGTCGCTTGAGTTTTATTATACAAAAAACCTCTAGACTCTCGAACACTAATCGACATTTGGTGTATTGACTTTAATTAAACCTCCACTGTACAACTGACTGAAAACCACGAGTCACGTCACAGACCAGGAGCACAGATTTAAACAGACCTGGAGTTTCCTCTAAATAGCAACTTGAGAAAAAGGCATAGGCATAAGTTCTATTTGGTCCGTCTCTTCACATGCAGTCACTGAAAAAAGGCCCCGAGCGTGAAGCCATTTTGGCTCTTGTCTCATAATGCATCGCACCGAAAAAAACATCATTCGGGAAAACAACCATTCAATAWTAGAATAGACTCACTTTCAGGAGGTTGTTTGGTCTTCCGTTTGACGCAGTARCCTTCCAGATTGTAAACATACATAAAACCTGAAATGAATGTCCCAAAATACATCAATGATGAGAGGAAGGATAAAGAATAGAAAAATGAGAATAGAGAATAGAGAATAGAAAAATGTAAAAAGCACATGTAACACTAATCCTATACGGAAGTGCTTAGAGAAGCTGAAAAGACAATAAAGTCGCACCTCGTTAATTATGCCATCAAATAATTAGGGAACATTACTGGTTAATTATCAATGAAGAGACTGATAACAAAAACCTAACGAGAAATTACTTTCTAAAGTATTTTCTTACCCGARGAGTCTGCAGTAACCAATCGTTTATTCTCACTGTCTGTTGCCATAGTTGACACACCTTTCTTGGACTAAATGAAATGATAATTGTAAAACATTTTTGAATTTTTGAGATATAACTGGCGCTGGCTGGTATCTGTGTTTGTACCGGGGATCAGAGGCATGTCCTCTGTCCTCTGATATAAACACGGTGTGAGATGGAGAATACAGTGGGAAAGGAGGAAAAACTCTTGCTGGCCTAGTSTTTCTAGGCGGTTTGGGCTTATCAATGCGCTTCGTGTCGTAAAACGTAGGAGCGAAAACGACAACTTATGCACGGAATCTGTTAAATGCAATTTSTATTCATCTCTTTTTCAGTTAACTTTATTATCTCATGTCTTGTCTTTATTCTAATCGCTTTTGACTTATTATTGTTGTACAGATACAACGAATAACTAAATTCAACAACGACATCCCAACTGTAGCAAAAGCCCGTACTTGAAGATCCTTTGTGAGCTTAACAAAACCATTGTAGTTTGTACCTAAAATCCTTTTGAAATATGATGAAAGAAAGAGCAAGGCAGCGTCCCACTCACCGGCTTAAAAGCAGCGTATAAGACTCCTCCCGAGTAAACGTTCCAGAAGTGAACAAAGCCTAAGAAAATAAATGCATCAGCTATAAAAATGGCAATATAAAAAAAACTAATACTCAAAATGTAAAGCAACAGCAAGAACAACGAGAATGAAAATTAAAAATACAATTACCTTGAGGACCGCTGGCCACTAGTGTTGCAGCCTCTCTTGTTGTGATCGCCATACTTTCCTTGGATGACGCTCGTTTGGTTAAGAATACCAATTTCTCGATAGCATTTCCTCCATCCACTATAAAACAAATATAGATTCAGCTGATATAAAGCAATGGTTTTGTAAACTAATCCGGTTTCTACGATAGACTACTTGATATATATAAATAACAAAGATTCTAAATAATATTTTTGGTAACCACTCTGGGACCACTGGTGTGAAAAGTGGATATGACTATATACAGGATAAATCCTTATCTAGAGGGTAAAATCCATCGGAATCTATGAAGTGGGTAGTTTAATTCATCGTACAGACGGGCCCTAAAAAGTATGTACGTCACAATGGCATGGCTCTTACATGAAGATAAATTGTCATCAGTTCCAGTACAACGATGAGGTGAATGGATATGGCAGAATATGTGTCCTGAGATTCGATTCCAGATTATGATCTAAACCAGAAATAAAAACAATAGGGTTTAGGTACCAACCACTGAACGTACAACAAGAACCAAGAACAAATAATAGGAAGAAAGGTGCAAAATAATAATATATTSACTTGCCTCTCCATCATAACTTGATGATGCTAATAAATTGGGAGGACAAACTGCCACGGATAAAATATCTTCTTTGTGACCATGAAGCTACAAAGTAACAAAAACAATAACAACAATYAACAACACTTGATAAATATTTTCTGCACTTTTGGCATCGAGACGCGTACGGTTGTTCAGTGCTTATCACTAACCGGGCCTCACTTCTGAAGATTATGTCAGCCAAATTTCCAAATGAGTACAGCAACAACACCAATTAATTTATCAAAGAATGATCATAGTTACAGACACTTCAGCCTACATTTAGCTATACTAAATTATCAATGGGAATAGTGCGTGTTTGAGTTTACGCTTTACTATTGGCCACTACATGGTTGTATACATACCAGGTCGTCCGACCAGTCGATGTAAGGGTGCTGTATATGATGGATGTCATCAATATCATCCTGAAAATATAAGTTTTTTTGAAAGTTTTATTGCGGGACCAACTTACATGGCAATTATGTCGTAATATCTTTAAAAAATCGCAGATCAGCGAATGACCACCAAACGTCTTTTGGCTTCAGGTTGTTGCTAACGAGCTCAAGAGTAGTAGCATAGAAGTAAACAGCTTAAAGGAAGAAGGGTTCAAGAACAGGGATTTGTAATCCGACACAGCATGTTCCAAGACTTACCGAGAATACATTTATTCGTCTATCCCATCCAACAGAAATGATGTATCTAGAAAGAAAATCGTAAATATAACAATATGCATAACTGTATTTATTAAAAGTCTCCTAAACTGTACCTGTTTTTATGCATGACGATATAAACCAGATCTGTTACCTCATCGATATTATTTTCTATGGACAAAATAAAGAAACCGCGGTATGTTATATAAAAATTGTAAAAATAAAGCCAAATTCCTGTCTTGTCATGATGATCACTATTCAGATCACTATTCTCTGTTGCTGTCATATATCGAGTCGTTCGTTGAACACAATACTGAGTTTATATTACATGGTCGTACCTTTCTCTAGAGTTCGTAGACAGTGACCGTTGTTATAATTCCATATTCGAAGTCGACCATCTCTTCCACCTGTTATCAACCTAACAACAATATTCGCATGCTAAGATATATGTCATGCAATGATTCACAAGCAATCAGTAAACATACCTTCTTTCAGTGGAATCGAATGACATACAAGTTATGGCACTATCCCCATGTAGCTGATTGAACTCAAACACGTGATTACCAGTTTCAATATCCCACACACGGCAAACCTGAATTACATAAATAAAGGTATTTGTATACGCGTTTTAATTTATGTCATTTGATACTATATGTATGTATATCTACAATGTGGATCCAGAACGTTACAAAAGTAGGGGGCTAACTCGCAAAAAATATTCAATGCATTGCGAGATTTAGAGAAGCGGATTTCTTTCACGTGAACGCTACTTTAGTTTGTTTGTTTTGCTTTGTTTTGTTTTTGTTTTGTTTTTTCGAAATGAGTCCCATTCAGATTTAATATCTTCTTTCTTTTATTTATATCATAATTTTTTGTTTTATATTTTTAGCCCTAAAAAGGCCGGGTGGGCGTATCTAGCCATCCTCCTGACAACGGAAGATAAGGGGTGGGGGTAAACTGGACGAATTGTCACCCCCCTTTTGGCCGAGTCATGTATCTAGTAATTCATAGATCAGAAATAGTTACTAGATTTAAGAACAATTAATAAAATTTGATTGGAATTTGACAAGGATGGCAAAATGGCATTAATTTCAAGAAAATAGAGTGCGCAGAGAAGCGGAATGTTGGAAATAATTGGATTTTTCCTAATTTACCATTGTCTCCAAAATAGTCACAATTTGTCTAATATTAGTGTTTCATAACGGAGTAACATGCGCTGTAGTATAATAAGTACCGGGATATATGATTTGGATATCCCAGATCACGTTTCTTTCAATATTTAGACTGTTCTTGCTCTAAAARTCACAGTTCACCCCTTCCCTCCGAATGAAAAACTCTGGATGTGCCCCAGTCTGAATCTGCCCTTGATCTACTCACCGAGCCTTCTGATGCAGTAAGAACATGCTTGAAGCTCTTGTTATATTTGACGCATATCACGGGCTCCTTGTGTGTAGTGGTTACATCGCGTGAAGTAGGTCTAAAACATAATAAATTAAGTTATCATATATACTAAAGCTATATGAATAAAGGTTGTCGCAGCAAATGGTGTTTACAGTACTGAAAGTCACTGCGGGTATTTAATTTCTGATRAATGATATTTACCCATCTCCTTGAACATGCAGAAAAACGAACCATCRTCGAAATTCTCCATTTCGTATAAACAGCGATATTGTGTTAGATAACCGGCTTTGATAGGAGAATACTTCCATTTTTTAATAATCAATACCCAGAGTTTTTATCATGGTAAAGGTAACTTAATAAATAATATTGCTATTGCACTTTTATCGGAAAGAAGTAGCCATGCAATCCTTTTTCTTTTAAGGGTTTTACCTTGTTTTTAACGGAAGTAAAGCGATTTGATCTGATGTTGCTACTGCCAGTCCTCTTGATATTGGATTGTAGTGTATTGCTATGGACACAYAACATTGTTCTTACTTAATGATCATAATTGTTGCTAGAAGCAGTGTAAGTTTATAATCATTTAAGAATGACTAAAGAAAAAATCAGAGCCACGTTTTTCCATGTACTTACCAGATAAGTCTCCTCGTATTTTATGAGCCTTTGGTCTTACAGTTAGAAGACAAGTTTGATCGTGAAGGTCCCAAACCTAAAACATATAATCACAAGTTGAATTGATGGCGAATATCCATTTTATTCGGTTCAGTTTTATTTTTAATTTTCCATTTATATATCCAAGCGATGAATCAAGCCACAACTTATTCAATTCTAATGCTGCAAAACACTAGAAACAAAAGCTTAGCGACAAACTAGTAGAGGCACTAAATCCGTGAAACAGATACAGAGAAGAGAAACAAAACCGTCCATCGTCCCAGTGTGCTGGGCATTTTTGTTCCTTACATATTATTTAAWAAGCATTGATGATGTTGCGAGAGAATATTACTGCTTTCCCTTAAAAGCATTCTTCCATCTTAATATCATTTCATTGACACAATAGCCTGCGTAGCCAGGCTTTCGTAGACACGAGASAGTTTTTGGCGTAACAAACTTTGGATTCAATCGGGCAACCATCTTCCAGCTATATACATTACCTTTATAGTCTTGTCAGTAGAGATGCTAAATATTCTATCATCTTCWGGAGAAATAAACAAATGAAAAATTGGAGCCGTGTGTCCTCTAAGAAGTCCAGTCGGCTTGCTGAAAAAAAAACAAGAAACCCGCTGTCAATGAGAGTAACATATTGTCAATGATAGTAACGAGGCCAACAATTCAGCTTTTAAAATAATGAATATATATATCACATCAACACGATATTTATGAAGGATTGAAAGAATTGACTTAATATGTATATTACATCCCATTTTCGCGGGGTAAAAAAATCCCAACTAGTGTTAAGTGATTTCATTCACCAGCCTGTCATTCACCACTCTTCCACTCTGGAATGGTGATAGTCGGTATGGAATRTTTGGGATATATTTTGAAGACTCTACTCCAGTGAAAAGAGGATAAGTGGTATTCTCTCCATTCCGTAATGGATATCAAAAGTTCTTTTAAAAAATACAACTCCTTTCTATATTTCGGAGTTGCAACTAAAACCCGGCGCCCGTGATTTTGTTATAATTTATGTACTACGTTTTTTGCACAATAGTCCCTACCTTGGCACGTAAGGATTCCACATTCTTACGAGTCTGTCCATACCTAAGGGAAAATATGTTGTTACAGATATAGTCGCCATCTTGAATTTTGTGAATGTGATTGGTAAAGCAAAATAGCGCGATAATTTTTTTACGGAGCACATGAAAAATTGTTGACTTTCACCCACTGATAATTTGCATGCTTTTGTAATTAACACTGTTTTATCAAACTAACCTCCAGTAACAATCAAATTCTTCTCTTTACAAAAGTCGAACGTCTTTACCCCTTTGTAGACTCGAAATACGGTCTGGTCAGCATCCAATCGTCTTCGAGGTTGCATGTCACGAACTCCGGTTGCAGGATTTTTTTTGTTGGGTTGCGTATTCATTTGCGATTCGATGTGCGTGCTTCCAGTTGTTTGGCCTTGGAATAATAATGATTCGATTTTATAGTGTCACTCAACATTAAGAATATATGATGGCGCTATGTGCTTACATATACTAGTCTCGCATCCTATACAAGTTTGAGCGCCTAGTCATCACCTCCTTAGAGTTGCCTCTTCGAAGCTAAGGAAACTATAATATATCACAGTTTTTACTCAAAAATTGCTGCTCCCACAGGTAAGTAAGTACTAGCCTCGTCCCCAGGGTACTCTGCCAGCCAAAACAAAATAATATAATATAATAATATAATATGGCTGTCCATCGAATTTCGATGTTGACTGTCAAAGCCGAGGTGTGAGGTAGCAGCGTCTCATGTGAGCTGAGAGGCCAGCTCGAGACCGACAGTATTGATCGCATTTTTCACATTTGAAACAGTCAGAAGAAACAGGTAAGTGTCGTCGATTATGTGCTTGCTGATACTCCCTCGTCCGTGCCTCTTCTACGGCYAGAGTGGCCTTCTTCAAGATGCCCTTCCATTTGGGACGGTCAGATGCATCTACTTCCCATGTATTAGGTGGGATGCCTGTCCTTTTAAGGTGTCGTTTCAGGTAACATAAGTAACATAAGGACGAGGCTATGCTTTGAAGGAAAGTTTCAATGTCAACTCACCAATAACAAGTCCAGTTTCCTGATGATTGGAGCACGAGATAACAGCACGCAAAGWATCGTAGTACCGTAACTGGGATACCCAATCATTATGAACTTTCCATCTATTAAAAAAATAACAATTGATTAATATTTGAACATTGAAAGACTTGAATTGACTACATGTATAAATCAAAATCAAAAATGCCTATTGCGTTTTTATTTCAGAAATCTCGGATATCCGACTTATATTATCCTTTGCGTGGATTTCACTAGCGCATAAGCATAGGCATAAGCACGAAGCACGAGAGTCATATGCGCCAGTGAGAAGGGGCTCAAAATAAGCATAAGCATGAGCACAAGGAAAACGAGCAAGGCTTGATCTTCTTGTGCTTATCTCATGCTTATCTCATGCTTATGCTCAGTGAGAACGGGACTGCATAGGCATAAGCATAGCCTGGTACCGAAAAAATACGCTCGTGCGCATGCTCAATGTCTTATGCTTATGTCGAGCCCGTTCTCACTGGCGCATAAGATTCTAATGCCTGTGCTTATGCTATGCTTATGCGCTAGTGAAATCCACGCTT